TCTAGATAGAAAAAAAATGTAAATCTCTGCCTCTACCAGCAATTCATGCCATACACAAACATTAATTCAAAATGGAATATAGACTTAAATGTTAAAGCTAAAACCATAAGACTTCTGAAATAAGAAAATCTTTTTTTAAAAGTTTAAAATTGTTTTTTATTTATTAAAAGTATCTTAATACCCTTGGTGTAGGTTAAGTCCTTCTAAAACAGGATATCAGAAGCATGACCTATAAAAAGAAAGATATTGATAAATTAAACTTCATCAAAATTTAAAACACCTGCCCTTTGGAAGATACTATTGATGCTTAACAAAACATACCAACACTTAGCTTCTTAAAAGAACAGGATTTACTGTTTATCACTATTCTGTGGCTTCCCTGGGAGGTTGGTCCATTGCAGGTGCTGGAGCCCTTCATTCAGCTGCATCCACCTGGAGCAGAGACAGCAGTGTGGGCCAGGGACAGACACCATGGCCTCTGGTCCCCCACAGTCTGTCATTATACAACCTCAACAATATCAACACAACCATAGTATTTCTCCTTATGAGTCATGAACAAATAGTAAGATTCCTTTATTTTACCCCTATAAATGTATAACGTATCCAGGAATTAATTTAATAAATGCAGAATACTCATGTAGAAAAATTAATTTAATAAATGCAGAATATTCATGTAGAAAAATTTTAAATGATCTTAGAACTTAAGAAAATTTAAATAAATGAAAAAATATATAACCATGTTGGTGAAAAACAATGCTTAAAATTGCAAAGTATCAGATATTCTGCATGGAACATGATTTTCGGTATTTCTAATGCTTTGACATCTGGGAGCCTTGCTGACTGACTGCCTCTTCTAGGGCTACCTGCATGGAGCACACATTTCAAGTGCAAACAACCCTCTCCTCCATCAGGCACTCAAACTCCACACCAATGTCTCTGCCCTAATAACCTCAGGGCAGATAACAGACAATCAGGGGCAGCCCCTACACCCGCCCTTCACTGAAATTATTCAAACTAGCCAAACCTAAGTCTGTTTACCCTTCGTGGCCTGTTCCCTCTTGCAGAAATCCTATGTAATAAAAGCTTAGTATGTAAATTGTCCCCTGGCTGGGAGTTCGTCCAGGAGTTTGACCAGTGGGTGGGGCCAGCTGGGGGAAGGGAGGGAGGCCCCAGCTGGCAGCTGCTATGAATCCTACCTGTACACAAAATTCGTGCACTGAGCCTCTAATCACAAATAAAGAATTTTGCCTACGGTTTTCCCTCGCTTTCTCTGCCCCCTGACATCTCCTGGTTCTTCCCCCTATGGCCCTATGTCCCTAAGTGCCTCTTGTGTGTTGGGAGCTGTGAGTAAAAGTTCTCCCTTGACGATAGTCAACCCCCTTGTCTGTGTGTCTTTCCATAGCTGATTTCACCAAACTCTGGGTACCCAGCAACACATTCTTACGAAAGCCATCTACACATTTAATGCAACTTGAAACAAAACTTCCAGTAAAAATCTTTAGCGACTGGACACACAGATTCTATCATTTGGATGGATAACAAATCCTATGAATTGCTGAGGCAGCTCTTGAAAAAAAAACTGCCAACAGAAACGCACCCTATGGTTACTAAGGCAGATTATTTCTAAGATAGAAGTGACCGCAGTGTGGGGCCAGCACAGGAATGAATAAACCAATAGAATAAAATAGAGCACCCAGAAATAGCTTTATAAATACTTCTGCTCATGTACCAAGTGGAGCCACACATGGGAGAAAGACTGATAAATGGTTGTAAGAATATTGGGTCACCATGTAGAGAAAAAAGATCTTAGAATAAAAATAACCATGAAAAGCAGAACTAAAAATAAATATTAGAAAGAAATGAAGAACATCTTCCTTTTCTATAAATAAGGCTAAAATTCAACAATTACACACACCACAAATCCCCAGCCCCTCAGCAACCAGCAGCCACCTGCATCTTCAGTTCATCTAGACCGTGGGAGAGTTTTTTCTCTCCATTTACCTGCTTAAACGAGAAAAGGAGCAGGGAGCCAAAGGGACCGAGCAAGACCAGAAGCTCCTATGCTCCCAGGATCTGCATTCCAGAATGTTCCTGGAGAACCATGTGGGATTTGCCTTAGTAGTTAAAAGACCTGTCTGGTGGTTTTTCCAAAACTGAGAAACTAAGTCCCATAGATGAATGGAAGTCTATTACTCTCTTCTGAAAGAAACTGCTTACAGTATAACCCCAGATCAAAGACCAACTTCTCCTAACCAAGCTTTCAGAACCCTCGGGGACTTCTAAAACATTCCATGTTAGTATTAAAATTGAAGCCTGACAGTGAACAACCAGTGTCAGCCAGCCAACCTCCCAGCCTCCACCATTCTCCCCACAACCCCACCTGCCAGCCCCCACCTGTCACTCAGCCTCCAAGAAATAACTGACTTTCTCACACACAAGGAACCTTTGTCCACAGTGGGTAACCCACTTGTTAGCTGTCTCTCTGCCTCTTCCAGGGCTACCTGCCAGGGGCACACGTTTCAAGTGCAAACAACCCTCTCCTCCATCAGGCACTCAAACTCCACACCAATGCCTCTGTCCTAATCACCTCAGGGCAGATAACAGACAATCAGGGGCAGCCCCTACACCCGCCCTTCACTGAAATTATTCAAACTAGCCAAACCTAAACCTGCTCACCCTTCGTGGCCTGTTCCCAGTCCCACCCTGGGTCCTCTGGACTGAGATGGGGCCATCCAGAGGCCTTCAGCTGCTCCTGCAAGGCCTGCTCTTTGCTGTCACCTAGAAATAGGCCTGAGAGTAGCCTCATTAAAGGAAAGGTCCTGGGCCTGCCTCCTGCCCCCACACCTCCTCACCTGCATTTCTATCTGCACTCCTCTCTTTTTCCCCTTCACCAGGCAGCTTTCCAGAAAGAGACTCTTGGAATTCCCACTCCCTGTCCACCACATGGCTCACTGTAGGGTGGTCTCCACTGCCTTCTACTACAACTGGACAACCTCTAAATTCTATTCTGGCCAGTCCTCCTGAGGGGGCAACTCCTGAATCAATCTTCTGAGCCCTCACTCCTCCACCCTGCTCTCTGGTGACCTTTGGCTCTGGTTGGCCTTCCAGGGTCCACCATGGCTCTGTTCATTGTGAAAGAGTGGAGCACCCCATCTCCTTCCCCTCCCCCGCCCCCCACTTCTCTCCTCTCCCTCTTCCTCCTATGCCCAGCCTCTCAAACTACTCCATCAGCCTGCCCAGCTGGGCTCTCATGTCTGAGGTCAGAGCAATTACCAACCAAATTCCCAAAGATTAGCAGAGTGATGATGGCCACATAGGCTGGTGCCTGCCAGTGTCCACCAGCAAGTAACACCTACCACATCCCCCAGGCCTTCACGTCTTCACAGCACAGAGTGCCTTTCACAGATGTGCCAGCCAAGGTTCAAGGAGCGCTCACTTGCCCGGATCAAGCATAATGGCTCTGAAGCTGTGCTGGACCCAGCCCTGGTCTTCCCTTTCTTACTAAGACTGCTGTGTAGAATGCCTGGAGAACCAATGACCTCTTTTTTGGTTCCAATTCTCTCCCTCTATCAAAACACAGAAAGGGCCCAGCATGGTGATATTTCACCCAGTTAGAGGTGAGCAGTTCAATTGGCTATTCAGAGGATCAAGTTACTCCCTGCCTCCTGCCCAGGAAGGGATGAGGCTGGGGACCCTCTCAGATCACAAAGCCACAGCGAGGTCTGACCTTCCTGCAGGCCTAGAGCAATGCAGGCAAGCTGGGCTCCTGCCCCTAATGTCAGTCGCCCATGTGTGAACAAAGGGGCTGGACTGTGTCCCAGCATCCTCCCTCATCCACCTAATGCTGGCTCCTCCATCTCCTGACTGACGGGGCCACACGGAGAGGCATGCCGAGTAAGTTAGCTGTTCTCACTACAAAAGGTTTGAGATGAACTTTTGAAATGTATAAATTTTGAACATGGAGCTATTTCATTGTTGCCCTAGTTAATACTGTGCCATAAATTAGGGATCCCCAAATGTCTCCCCATCACAGGGTAATTCCATGAACCAGAGTAATTAGGGAATGAGAATCATTTGATTCAAAACACTGGGTCCCAGGTAGCTAATGCATCCTTTGACCCCTTCCAGCCTGGTCCCACCGGCTGGGGTGGGCCCCTGGGCTGAGTGCCTCCCCCACCACCCACCCCTCCTACACTCCCCTCCACCTCTTCCCCCCCCCCCCCCCACCTCCCTGGTGTCTGGATGAGCCTGCCCTAACAGCAAGGATTGGCACAGACCGAAAAAGCCAGGGAGAACCTCCTTCCCCAAAACCGCTTCCCATCTGAGAGGGAGGAAAAGCAGGGGGAACAGGACAGTATACTGTGGCCTCACACAGCCAGGCCAGGCTCTGCTCCTCCGGGATTTCACAATTTGAGCAGGTGGGGCGGCCTCTCACCCAGACCGGGGGGGAGCATGGCCGGGGGGGGGGGGAGCATGCCTGCTGAGCGGGTGCGGGCCCCCGACCCTGCCCTCGAGTGGGTCAGTCCAGGAACCACGGCCGCGCCCCCGGCCATGCGCTGAGCCGCGGAAGGCGCGACGAGGCGGGCCTCGCCGCACGTGGGGCCGGACCGTCCTCCTCTTCTCTCGGGACCAGGCGGCCTGCAAGTCCCAGAGGCCCTGCCAGCGCTCCTCCGACCCGCGCAGCACCCCCACCCCGCAGCCCCGCAGCCCCGCAGCCGCACAAAACCTCCGGATGCTGGGAGGGGGCGGGGTCTGGCTGCCTCTCGGGGACGGAGGTGGGCGGAGTCTTCAGGGAAGCCCCGCCCTGGACACGCCCCCGCCGGCGCCCCCCGCCCACGTCACGCCGCCGCCCCTCTCGCGCCTGCGCGGCCGCACACCGGCCCGCTCCTGGCGCCGCGCATCCTCGCCCCGCGCCCGCTCCGCGCTCAGCTCCGCTCCGCGTCCCGCTCGCGCCCGGCCCGCCTGACTCCTCGGCTCCCCTTGCGGAGGGCGGCGCGGCCATGAGGATGCGGGGACGCGGCCCCCGGGATGCCCCCGCCTCCAGCGCGGGGGCCGGCGACGCGCGGCGGCTGGCGCCCCCTGGGCGGAACCCCTTCGTGCACGAGCTGCGCCTCAGCGCCCTGCAGAAGGCCCAGGTGGGTGCCGCCCGCGCCCCTAGCCCCTTGGCCTGGGCCGCGCCGAGGAGGGACTCGGGGAGGGGGACTCGGCGCGGCCCAGCCCGGCTCCCGCCCCTCAGGCCCCCGCCGCCCGCGCCCGCCACGCCACCCTGCGGCCCCCATCCCCGCCGCCCCGCCTCAATTTCAGGTCTCCTTACTTTCCCGCCGCCCGCGCCCCAAACCTGGCTCCTCCCCTTTCCCCAGCCCCCCGCACCTCGAACCCGGCCTTATACCGTCTTTCCCTGATCCCTGCACCCCTTTTCATGTTCTCCGAACCCCTTCCCCTGATTCCCGTACCCCTCCCCCTAGCTCGGTCCACGCAGCTCGGTCCCTGGTCCGGCTGTCCCCTCCGGCGGGACTCGGCGCGGGGCTGGAGAGGACCCCCCTGGTGTGACTGTGTCACTTGATGAGTTTCGTCGTGTGTGAGTTGATCATTTGAGTCAGTGCCAGAGATATTGGGGTGCGGGCTGTGTGGTGTCCCCTAAAGGTGAACAGCAGGAGAATTTGCGCTTCTCTGTTTGCAAGTTATTTTCTGGGGAGTGTGCTAGGGACGCTCCCCTGGGAGCGGGGGGGGGGGGGGGCGAGGGGGGTTGTCCATAACCGGAAACAGTTGTATACAACTTCGGTTCCAGCCTGGGAGGGAACAGTGTGCTCTTTGCTTCCATCCGGTTTTATTTGTGAGGTCCTCTGGTCCCGGCTGAGGGATGGGCGGCTGCAGGAAGCACGGGGGGCCTCCACACTTGTTCCTTTTGTGGGTTCTGGTCTGGTCGGAATGACTCCCTGACTCTCGGGTCTCCGTGCGCTGGTAGTTGTGTTTGGATTTCTGTAAGTCCCACACGGATCAGCCTTTCTTCTAACTTCAAAACTATACACCAAAGCAGGCGCAGATTTTGGACTTCAGAAGCTGTCCAGTTGGTGGGGAGTATATTTCCAACCGTGACAAAACTTTTGGGCGTGACATTGAGAATTTTTTAAAATATATATATTTTATTGATTTTTTACAGAGAGGAAGAGAGAGGGATAGAGAGTTAGAAACATCGATGAGAGAGAATCATCGATCAGCTGCCTCTTGCACAACCCTTAATGGGGATGTGCCCGCAACCAAGGTACATGCCCTTGACCGGAATCCAACCTGGGACCTTTCAGTCCGCAGGCTGACGCTCCATCCACCGAGCCAAACCGGTTTTGGCGACATTGAGAATGTTTTAATGTGTAATTGTAACTCATCTGAAATAATGTTCAGGTGAAAGTTCCTGAAGTCAGTTTAAAGCTGTCATTTCTGGGACTCTTGCCTTTCCTTGAAGCCCTTTCTCCGTGGGTTCAGTTGGCATGGGTGGCAGAGGAAAACAGGCAGAGACTGAGAAGAGAATGGAGAGAGTGGTGTCCCTCCTGATGATAGGAAAGGGCAAGGTTGTCCCCAGTTGGCTCCTGGTCCCTGCCCCTGTGTGTGTCCAGAGCCAGACCTTGGTATCTTCCTCTTTCACTTGTAGTTTCACACTCACCACCTACTAGGTACTGTGCCCAGGGTACTAGGATATTAGGACACAGTCATTTCCTCTGTGCTCCTGAATGCCCCCTTCCTAGGTCCGGTTCCTGTCCCCCCTTTGACTCTTATGGTTTAGGACAGTGGTCGCCAACCAGTGGTCCGCAGACCACTGGTGGTCCGTGAGGTCCGAAAAGTTGGCAACAACTGGTTTAAGAGGCCTTCCTCCTCCCACTTCTCTGCTGCTTAGAATCCCCTCAGGTGCCCGGGGGACCAAGCCAGCCCTGAGCCCTTCAGGTGGTTTCCAAGGCCCCTTCTGGGCCCTCCCCACACCTTTAGCTCCAGCTGCCACAGGGCCTTCTGTCCCTGCCTCTCTGCTCCTCCCTCTTTGGTGAAATATCACCTCCAGGAAGAAGCTGTCTTCCCTGGAGGTTCCCAGAGGGCCACCTCCATAACCCTGTCACATTTGCAGTCCTCCCTCCTCCCCCTCACCAGTTTCTCCTGTCCCAAACTGTATACTCACTGCTGAGATGGGTGAGGTCCTCTGCAGAGACTCAGCTAGTTGATGAATAAACAAGTGAAAGGGGAGGATGTCAGAGCAGAGTCAGAAATCCCCAGCTGTGATTCCCCTCCCCAGGAATCACAAGGTTGTAAATTGGAGATTTGGAGCAGTGCCTGTGGCTGTTCTTCCCTGAGACCGCTTTCAGGTCCTGGCTTTAGATGTTGGCAGGCAGCATCTGGATGACATTCAGAAAAAGAACAGGTGAGTGGGATGTTTTAGCCTCCAAGGAAGGCTGGGGTACCTTGTGTACACTTTGTCACAATGTTTCAGAAACTGTAGTCAGAATAATCACGTGTATTTGTAACACAGTCATCGCTACTGCTCAGATGTCAGCAATGTGTGGATGAGGGTGTGTAGCTCCTCAGTGCTCTCAAGTTCCAAGTCCTGCTCAGCAGACATATTTTACTTTTCATCAAGCAGTGCTCTGTCTGCCAAGCCTTTTACCTTTATCTACTGTATTTTAGGGTAGCATTTCCAGAGTGAATTGGACTATCCAAGCAAAGAAAACCTGCCTCCCAAATCAATACGTAAATGGATTCAGCAATGACGGAACACCGTGGGAGCTCAGGAATTCACCTAAATTCTGGTTAAGATAAACCAGTAAGGGGACCTGCATTTATCTGCTTGAATTTGCTGCCAGGGAAGAACATTGTATGTGGATTAATGACCAGTCCATCTGTCATTTAACTGCAGATTTAGCAAGGAGCTTAAGCAATTCCTTGGACAGAAAACAGCATAGTAAGATCTGAAAACTGGGAATAGTACAATATGGGCTAGTCATGGTGATTCTTTGCTTCTGAAATCATGAAGTGGTTTTATATCACTTGGGTTTTAGGGTACTTGCCACTGGAGCCCACAAGTGTGTGTGTATCCTACCTTCAGCTCTGAAGTTTCCCCATTTCTGAATTCCCTAAACCAGTGTCGTGAGCACTTACTTCCTGGAAAGCTGACTGGCTTCCTGTGTACCTTGGATCTGAGTCCTGGGAGGGAAGAAGCTGGGAAACACACCCCTCCCCCTGACTAATCCTTGGAGAGGATTACCAGGAGGGTGGAGTCCAGGGAGACTCAGACCCACTAGACCTGCTGGAAGCAACCCTTTGTGAAATTCACCCAAAAGTGGGTGGTCTTTTTCTTGAAGTCCTCGATTTTGATTAAAAAAAAAAAAAAGTAGCAGCAGAGGCCTTGGTTGGTCCCAGCCTGGATCCCAGGTTAGGTGTGGCCATTCTGGAGCAGGGAAGCCCACACTCTGTTCATTCTGGGCCACTCATGGTCTTGGTACCCTGCCCCCTGGCCTCAGTGCCCCTATCCCCATGCACACAGAACAGGCCTGGCATTTCCCTCCTGCTCCACTGACCTGCCAGACTCCTGAGCCCTGCCCAGCCCTTCCCATTACACCCACCCTGCTGCCTCTTGTATCTGGGTGCTCTATGCCCGAGACATAATGAGCAGCTCGGACATAATGAGTTGCCCAGAAGGCCTGAGAGGCTGAAGCTTCAAGTGGACACCACGCCCTGGTCTCTGGCCACCTCTGACCACCTGGAAGTTCTGATGGTGATGCCTCTGTTGACACATTTGTAGCCCAGTGGGGTCCAGGGGAATTCCCAGTGTCGTTGCACTGGTCACTTAGTGCAACCGTGGAAGGAGTGGTTCATTGGAGGGTCAGGTGCTATATACCCACATCCCAGGTGAGGAGACAGGCCCAAGTTCATTGCTGTCCCCAAGTCCAGGGCAGTGATGGCTGCTTCATGCAGACAGCTGACCTGACCTACCACGGAGCCCCATCCAATTCTAATTGGAAGGGTCCACCATGACACTGAATTCTTGCTAACACTGAGGGTGGGAAGGGAGATTAAAAAGGCTTGTCTTTTAGTTTTTATACTCCTCTGCCTGAAATGTGAATTTTTAACACTTGTATATGTTTTATATGTATGTGTATATATACACAACACATATACACAGAAGCATATTCACACATTCACACATTACATGCATACATATTCACAGAAGTATATACTGACATACTCACACATACACACAAAAGCTGTGCTGCAGGAGCTGGGCACCTTGCCCACCCTGCCAGGCCCATAAGTGTCAGGGTCCTAGGAGGGCATATCCCCGATGATCTGAGGAGAGCCCTGAACTTTCCTTTCCAGGCGAACCTGACCAAAGCTTCTACACAGCATGTTCCAAGGAGCTCTGCCCGCCTGCCCAGAGAGCTGGAGCCTTGCTGGCAGCCCTGCCCCCTGTCCTCCCTGCCCCTGGGCCTTCAAAGTGTAGGACAAAGTGTCATCATCCCCAGAGCAGGCAGAGCCCCCATCAATCCTCTGGAATTCCTGTGGGTTTTGGGAGCTGGGTTAGGGCGACCTGGCCTGGCCTGAGTTAAGTTTCTAACATTCCTAGTGTTCCTTGAACCTAGTCATAGCCTAGCTGTGAAGTGCAGTATTTTGGTGAAAATGAGCCCAGAAGAAAGTATGTGTTTGGAAATAATATGTTTGAGGATGTGATCATAGTGTTTGTCCTTCTAGAGCCCACGTCACCCTGCAGGCCCCGGGCCATATTTTGCAGGACTAAAACCTGTCCCTTGTTTCTGTTTTGTTTGTTTTGTTCATTAGTTTCCACGTATAAGTGAAATCATATTGTACTTGTCTTTCTATGACTGGCTTATTTCACTTAGCATAATACTCTCCAGCTCCATCCATGCTGTCACAAAAGTAAGACTTCTTTCTTATGGCCGAGTAATATTTCATTGCGTAAATATATCACAGCTTTTTTTTTGTCCACTTATAGATAGAGAGAACTGACTGGCAGCTGTCAGAGGGGAGGAGTTTGGGGGCTGGGTGAAAAAGGGATTAAGTAAAAAATTCATAGACACAGACCTGTGTGGTGATTATCAGAGGGAAAGGGGGATGGGGAAAGTGGAAGAGGGTTAAGGGG